TTTCCATTGGAGGCACTAAGAGTTCTTAGAGTTTTAAGATTACCAGAAGGTTTGTGAAAGAGAGCCAAGAACAAGAAGTTCTTTGTCAGGACTAAAACCACTGTCCAAAGAGAGGCATGCGACCCTGTATAACTGCTGGAGCATACAAACACAGGGGAGGAAAAGAAAATTATAGAAACTACTGCACAGGTAAGCAAGCCCCCTGCAAGATCAGGAGTAAGTATAAAAATGAGTGGATAGCCTGGAAAAACACAGAAGATAACATAAAGCCAGTGCAGTAATTCTTAGACACTATGAGAACATGTGAAGAGAGAGGTCAGCAGCAGCTCCACCTGCAGGGGCAGAGACCCCAAACTTATCCCAGTATGACTGCAGAACCACAGCACCACACAAAGTTTTACACCCCTGTGAGGTCTGGCTAGAGCACAGCAACAGAAAGCTTTCCAACACTAGTTTTAGGGAACGAAAAGTTCAGGTAGATAATTTTTAAAAAACCAAAACAAACACCTAAACAGCTCTTCTACATAACTCAGCAGACCTTCTAATGAATTTCTCAGCAGCAGAACTCATTTGCAAAAAAAAGTAAACCCCAGTAACTAGGCCTATGCAGCTGAGTGGTTCTGGAAACAAAGCAAGCCCTCCACTTAGGGGATGATCCCAAAAGGGAGAAGAGAGAGAAGATGGCTCCACCACTGAGAGCCTGAAGTCATAGTCCATCAAACCACAAATTCACTTCATCATAAATCTTTAACTAGCTGAAAAGGTGGAAGTCTTCTAAGGCCATCACAGGCAGAAGCAAAAAATCCCTTGATGAGAGTTTATGGAAGATTTCAGGCAGGGGATTGCACAATGTAGACTTGGAAGGAGAGTAAGCCCACCTTAGCCTTAAGTGAACAATTACCACACAAACATTTCATAAACAGAACACTTCATCTTCTCCTCCAGCTGCAGCTTCCTCACAAACATAACAACACACAAGTGCTGAGAAGGAACAAAGGGAGAACAAAAATTCTCAAGTAGAAACTAAGGGAATGCACAGGCAGGAACAACCATTAAATCATCAAACAAATTCCTTCATTATTTAACAATAAATTTCACTCAATTTCATCAGCACCTTGTATTTCACATTCACAGCAGATTAACAACACAAGTGGTTTAAGATGGATGTTTCCAGCTTCCTGTTTTGAATTGTTTGTAGAGATTTCTCTACTAAATTTAAAGATCTCTTAAGTGTCTAAGGTTTTTGTCCCTAAACTCTGCAGGAGTACTTGAACATCATAAATTACTTTCCAAAGACTAAACTGATAACACTTGCAAAGTTTGCTTCAAAAAAGAGAATGTGCATATACACAGCAGCCTAACTTGACCATATACAAGGGCAGAGAAGCTGCACATGTACCACTAACCACACACTAATACATTACTTCAAACTTATCCTGTGCTGAAAGGAACAGGAATTACATTGAAAAACAGCAAGATGCTAAACACCTTGTCCAGTGGGTTCCTTATCACCTTCAGATACATGCACCTTCCTCGACACAGAGGATGCTAGTGCTAACAAAATTACCTCATTGTCTTTTATGTATTCCTTGGACATAGATATCAAGGGGGTTGGGGAAAAAACCACTACACACATTTCATGACTGAGACTTTGACAGAATTTTTGATTTATCAATCTTTATGCATTTGGAGTCTATAGCTGAGCTAACACATATATTTCAGTTGACTGCTCCAAGGGAAATCCTGTCTCAAAGGCTGAGGTTTCAGTGCTAGCATCCCTCCTAACAAAGGAATAAAGAGCAGGGTAAGAACAGGCTTCCCATCTGTCACATGCATAAAAACATGGGTGATAAATGTGGCAGACAACCCAGGTTTTTTTTAGCTGTCACTTCAAAGAAGTCCTCAGATAATCCTCAAGTGCGCAGACGAGCAGACTACAGGTTGCACACAGAAACTCAGTGTGCTTTTGGCCAAGATTTTCACTTTCATTAGTCAAACACAGAAAGGATTATAGTTACATTATCAGGATTCCAACACACATAAACAGGTTCAACATTTTAAAAACAATAAAAATACCCAGATCTCTTCCATGTTTTTGCACACACTGCTTGTAAATAAAATTATTATTCCAGTCAGGAGATAGAGAGAGGTATCGACGCCATGACTTCAAAAAACAGCTAGATAATAAGTTGCTACAAGTGAACCATCTCACCTCAATACTCATACTTCAGTTGATATTCATGCTCTGTTTAACTTTTCAAAGTATCACAGACCTAGATAATACTAAGAAACAAGCTTAGATTGAGTTGAGATTAGATTCCAAATATAAAAAAGAGTAATGAAGAAAACAGGACTAGATATTATCAAAATAATGTCCTTGAAAATGTATCCACTATAGCAATATAATTTATTTTCCCATTTTCTTAAAATTTGTTTTTGGAAATAGAACCAGTAATTAATACAGTAATTTGATACTTCTGGTAGCAAATGTTTGAAATACTCTTAAACAAGAACATACACCAATTGTATCAGAAAAAAAAGTTTCCAAAGAATGTTAAAGGCAAGAAAGAGCTTTAAAAAAAGAGCTAGAAGATGCCTTAGAATTGCAGCCTGATGTGAAATACCCTTTAAAATACAGTTAAAACACTTGCTAAAAGAAACATGTGGTAATAGAAGAACACAAGAAGAATTAAAAAGTCTAGAAGCTACTGCTGATTTGGTGGAGATAGGAGGAGAAATTTGCCATATCCTGATAAAATCTTACAACAGGAATTCCGACACAGAAATACTATAGATTCTGGAAAAAAAAATACTGCCTCACAGAAGACTTAAAAATGCAATGGAGAAGGAAAAGATTTTGAAAAACAAAACACAGCAATCAATAGCTGTTGATCATTGAATTATTCAGGTTGAAAAATACCCTTAATATCTTAGAGTTACATGGAGTGTTTTCTGTGAAGGAGTCCCTACTCAACAGTTCAGGGAAGACAAAGATTCCCATTTCCTACCAACTTTACCAAGGTTCTCAGATGAGCCACAGAATCACAAAATGGTTTGGGCAGGATGGGACCTTCAAAGACCATCTAGTCCACTTCTCCTGACATGGGCAGGGACATCTTTCACTTGAACAGGTTGTTCAAAACCCCATTCAAATCAGGTCTTGAACACTTCCAGGGATGGGATTCCCAACTCCTCTAGGCAACCTGTTCCAGTGCTTCACAACTCCAACTGTAAAAACTTCCTTCTCTGTGTCCACTCTAAACATACTCTGTAATTGTTTAAAGCCATTACCCCCTGTTCTGTCACTTTAGGCCTTGCTAAAACATGTCTTTCTCATAAGCCCTCTCTAAGGACCGAAAGGCCACAGTGAGATCTCTGAGCAGAGCCTTCTCCAGGCTCAACAACCCCAACTCTCAGACCTGCTTTGGAGGAGAGGTGCTCCATTCCTCTCACCATTTCCATGCCCTCCTCTGGACCAGCTCTAACACAACCACATCCTTTCAGAACTGGGGGCCCCAGGGCTGCACAGAGCACTGCAGACGGGGTCTCACAGAAGCAGAGCAGTGAGGGGAGAATCACTGCTCTCTACCTGCTGTCCTTGCTTCTTTTCAAGGAGCTCAGAACATGCTGACCTTCCAGGGTGCACATTACTGCCTTATGCCCAAATTTTCATCCACTCCCCACATCCTTCCCTGCAGGACTGCACTCAATCCACTCATCCCCCACTCTCTACAGATATTGGGGATTGACCCAGGGCAGAACCTTGAGGTTCACACAGGTGTGTTCCTCAAGCCTGTCAAGGTCTCTCTGCATGGCACATCACCCGCACTGCTCAGCTTGGTGTCATCTGCAAACCTTCCAAAGGCACTCTCAAGCCCACTGTCTATGTTATTAATAAAGACATTGATCATTGTAAATCCCAATACAGACCTCTGAGGGACACCACTTCCTACTGATCTTCATTTTGACATTGAGACAGTGACTACAACTCTTTGGATGTGGCCATGCTGCCAGTTTCAGTTTCTCATTCACCAAACAGTTCATCCATTAAACCCACAGCTCTCCAACTGAGAGGCAAAGATGGGGTGTGAGACCATGACATGCTGTCTGCAACAGATGGAAACAAAGTCTGAGAAACAGACAACATATATATCTGCACCTTGTTACACACTTTCTAGATTTCTAAGATAGCAATAATCCACGTGCAGGCCATGTTCTAATAATTTTTTACAACAAGTAATGCTCAAAAGGCTTAGTTACTATCCTGGAAATATCTAAAGGGATTTGTCAGAAGAAAGGGGCATGGAGAGAGGAAAGAATAAGGGACTTAACAGCCATTACAAGTGAGGGAGAAAGTCGTCTCTCATACAAGAAAAAAGATGCATTAAGAGCTTCTGCATGAGTTTCCCTAGTGAGCCATGCTGATAAACAGAGCAACTTAAAAAGGAGACTCAGCAGATGCACGCCTTCCTTTCCACCCCTCCGACTACCTACTAAAAACAGTCTTCGCCTTGACTGCAAGGGAGAAACTTACGCAAACAGACAAGAGATTCATTCCCCTGCTGGAGGCTCACAGCAGCACCAAGGCACCGAGGACCTGTAGCGGACCTGGCGCACGTCAATGGCTCCACTCGAGCGGGCACCGGCGGGAGGCGGAGGATCCTCAGCCCCACACGGAGCCCCCGTTCGCCCAAACACCCGGGCACCGCTGTCCCGTTCCCCGAAGAGGAGAGCGCCTTCAGGGGCCGGTCAAACGCCCCGGGGGAGCCGGAGGAGGAGGGCACGGAGCCGTGTTCGGCCGCCTCCCGCCGCAGGGCTCCGGCTCGCAGGGCCGCTGCCGTGCCCGGCCGGCCCCTCGGCACTGCCCGGGCTGTCGCCCCCGGGCCGGGAGGCCGCCGACGCTCCCTGACGAGGGGCCCGGCACCTCTCCAGCCCTGCCGGGGCAGCCCCCGCGGGCTCCGAGCGCTGCCGGCGGGGGAATGGCGGGGGGACGCCGTTACCTTCGCTCTTGCCCAGGATGCGGCAGCACAGGCTCTGCAGCAGAACGTTGGGCGATTTTTGGTCCGGAGTCGCCATCGCCGCGCGGGAGGCAGGAGGTGGCACGGGGGCCAGGAGCGGGCGGCAGAACCGGAGCACGGCGGAGGGAAGGAGGGGGCCGAGGACGCGCCGCCCGGTCGGCAGCGCAGGGAGCCGGCGGCACCTCCCGCTCCCGCCTACGGCGCCATTTTCACGGGACCCGCCGAAAGCCGCGGCCGCGCACCCACCCACAATGCCCCGCGCGGCGGTTCCGGGGCAGGCGCCGCCCCCGCGGGCAGGCCCGGGGCGGCACCGGCACCGGCATCGGCATCGGCATCGGCACCGGCATCGGCATCTCCGTGCTCGGGAACGGCTCCCAGCCAGCCCCAGGGTCTCTGAAATCATGTTCCATCAGCGCACGCATTCACTGCAACACAGCTCTTCTACCGAGTGCAGAAGGTGGAGGCCTCCGCACGCCATGGCGGGCAGGAGCGAAAAAGTCCTTGATGGAGTGCTGACAGAGGGCTTCAGACGTGGGGCTGCACCATGTAAACACGGATGCAGAGTAATTCTCTTGCCAAAATAGGTTCTTTCACCCGGTGTGCTAGAGGCCAGTACACACAGAGCCGAGGTATTTGATTAATTTACAGTTCTGCACTTAAAGGGGTGTTGGGTGGCAGATTCAGAAAGCCAGCATCCCAACTATCAAAACTCTTTACTATTTATACATTTTAGTAAGCAAAGGAATTAGTGTTTATTGGTTGCAAGTTACATAGTTCTGTTCTTCATTAGTATTCTATCTTCTATTCTATTAATGGTTCCATTGCTTCTTATCGTTATTAGTCCACATTCCCATTCTTTATCTTCTTTTGAGTTAGTGGCCATGAGTCGGGTCACAATCTCGTCCTGCCAGAACTGCTTTTTAACCCAGTAAGAGCTGATTTCAGCACAGTTGCTGAATTAGCTTTGTTATTTACTTCTTGATCTTGAAAGTTCTGCTAGATGTCCTTGTGACATCTAAATTCTGCATTCTTTGTGTCCACCATCAGTGGTAAATCCTTCATCCCAAGTTTTGTTAACCTCCCCCTGGTCTGAGATCATTGAAACTTATCAAGCCCTAAACCTTAACAAAGCAATTCTTCCAATAACTAATTTGTCTTTCTGACACCTGGACATCAATTATAGCTTTTTAGTTGCTCTATGTTTCACAGATTAAATCTCCTTTTCTTGTTATTTAGGCTTAAAAGTATACAAATATCAAACATCAGAGGACATACTTTCTTCAGAAATATTTACATATTCCACAGTTTGCAACAATCCCACATTAGCTTTAAGTGCTAGGTACAGACATCCTCACAAGTGCTGAAAAGGAACACAGCCAAGGAGAGCAAAAATTCTGAAGTACCAACTGAGGGAACGTACAAACTGAGGCAGGAGCAACCATTAGATTGTTGAAACTCAATTATTTTTTGTTATTTACCCATTAAATTTTGCCCAATTACATCACTACCTTATATTTTACATTCTAAGTGGGCTAACTACACAAATGGTTTGAGATGCAGATTCTCACCTTGTTAGGAATTTTTACTAGAAAGTTCCTAACTAAATTTGAAGATCTCACAGGTATCTAAGGCTTTTGCCCCCAAACTCCATAGGAGTAATTGAACACAGTGAATTACTCATGGGCAGGTCAGGTTCACTTCCTGCCCCCAGAGAAGAGCAGGCCCTGGGGTGGCTGCACTTCTGTGATTTCCTGCCTTGGGGATCAGGGCTCATTTGTGGCTTTTCCACACGAAGTGATGATGAAGCAGGGTGGGTCTGGAAAAATGTGTGAGGATGCTGCACATCCTGCTGTGCCATGCAGCTGGCTGTCCTCAGTCCCTGCAGAGGGCCTGGGCTCTGGCTGTGGGGCAGCCTGGGGATCAGGGACAGCACAGTCACAGCTGGTCCGTGCTGCTGCCTGGGACCTGCTCTGTCACCATGATATTTTCTGAAAGATCCCTTTGCCAGGATTTTTCCCCTGAGAAGCCTCAGAAAAGAAATATAAATAATTATCTGATCGTTCTGGAATGTGGTCTGGAGATTGTTTACCAACAGGTGCATCTTTGATTGGTTCCATGTGAATTGTTTTAACTTAATAACCAATCACAGCCAGCTGTGTCGGACTCTCTGAGTCTGGCACAGGTTTTTATTATTCATTCTTGTCTGGCCTTCTGATGTCTCCTTTCTCTTTCTTGAGTATAGTTTTAGTATATCAATAGAATAGAATAGAATAGATAGAATGTAATATCATATAATAATAAATCAGCCTTCTGAGAACTTGGAGTCAGATTCTTCTCTCTCACCTTGTCCTGGGGACCCTCACAACACCATAACAATTGGTGACCACGCTGCTCCTCAGGCTTGTCACCCCTAGCACAGACTCTGATGTTACCAGGTGTCTGAGTTCCATCTCTTCAGTAAATTCATGCTGTGTCCAGCCCAAAATACATGCTTAGGAAATAGTTATCACCCTTGTGCTGCTGGAGTCCTGCATAACCTGTTTGGGCTGATTGGAAATGCTGTAGCAGCAGCAGCCAGGTGGGCTTGGTGCACTGCTGGCTGTGGACAAATTCATTCCTGCTGTGCAGCACATGGTTTTCTGACAGCCCCTGTTGGCTTCATTGTCTCCACAGCCACAATTTTGTTTGTGTGCTTTCTACAGGCACGTACACATGGCCTTTCATTATGGGAACATTACAGATGTAAACATCAGCTCATTGCTAGCATTACTGCTAGAAACAAATCACAGTGGCAAGCCAAGAACTGAAACACATTGAGGATGTATGGCAAGTCATTGCTTGGAATATTCTAGTAGAAACCTTCATAGTCTCATCACTCACACTATGTATCTTCCTGATACATTCTTTAGATTCTTTTACTTTTTTTTTTTTTTGAGAAGTAAAATAGGACCCCAAACTAATAACTTTATCCCATATAAATATGGGTTGTAAGCTCAATTTTCAATAGTTCTGAAATAAAGACTTCAAAGATGTTGTGAGCTTTATTTTTTTTGTACTGAGCAGCAGAAGAGTCTCTGTTCCATTTTTCTGCCCAAAGCAAACACAGTTGTGCTACAAAGGGCTGGTGACTCACCACTGCTGCTAGTCACTTCAGATTTAGATTCCACCGTGGAAGGTGTTAATCTAGCAAGCAGCAAATATGGTTCTCACATGAGGCAAAAAAATAACTTTGGCAATTATATCTGGAAGTGGTATTCCTTTATAAAACCTTAACATTCCAAGGGAATCCAGTCACTCACAAATGTCCTGTTACTGCTTCTAAGTGGATGTTACTTACTGGTCACACTAGTTCATTTTAACTGAGGCAATTGTGTCACTGGCCTGAAATCAGAACACATTACAGAGCAGCACAGTGAGAATGTGCCATTGAAATGGGTGCACTCAGGCCTCCTGCAAGCAGCAGTACAAACACAAACCTAAGCTTTTCAACTTCAGCACAACCACATGCTGTGTTGTGCTTCTGAAGTAGTGTGACAGTCAACGATTCTGTTACATTACTGACAATGTATTCTCTCATTTCTAGTCTCTTTTTCCTAAGGAAATGAGGCTTAATGCAGTTATTTTGTATGTCAGTGCCTCCTCATGGCTCCTGGATCTCATCAACAAGTTTAAACAAATCCAGCAGAGGGATGGAGTTCTTAAGGATATTAGTAAAACTTAATGGGATTCAGCAGCTGAGAGTACTAAGGCCTAAGTCAGTCCCCCCTTGAAAAGAAAGGTAAGAGCTTACTTCTCTCTGCTGTGTTTGCCCTTGGCAAAGCAGCTGATTGGTGTGCACACACCCTGGGCAGGCAGACACATCCTAGCTCTGAGCCACCCACAGTACCAGCTCTGCTTGCCCAGCCTGATGGATGGATGATTTAAGAACTGAAGGGACAGAGAACTCTGGAAATAATGTGGAACATAGTCAGAAAGAGACAAGAGGGATGGAAAATGGAGAGAAACTAAGCTTCATTAGTGTCACTCCTCACACACCTCCTTGCTTTTTTTGTAATGGAAAGAATGAATCCTAAAATCCTGTTTAGAAATGCTAATTCTGATAAAGCAGGTTGCTAGCACATGCAGCTTATTGTGGTTTTACCAACTCTGGTACAAGTATGATTGCTTAAATCAGCTTAAAAAATCTCATTACCAATGAGAAAGAAAAAATATAAACTATTTTCTTACTATATAACTATAAGCTTGGTGCACCTTGCTGCTTGGTCTCTCAGCATTGTTAAAAAAAACGTTATTGCTGCTCAGATTTCTCACAATACAGAACGTTCATCAGTTAGCAGAGTTAAATGTGTGCTTTTAAAATTATGATAGTGTCTTACAAGAAAATCAGCTCATCCTTAGAAGGTTAAGGGGACTTGTGTTTCAGATCTGCTACTTAAAGATCATATTTCTGATAGTAAATAGCTTTATAATGAAAGAACATGCAATGAGATCCAGCAGGAGGTGGAAGCTGAAGCTTGCCAAAGTAAGGCTAGAAACAAATGACAGTTTTAATTCAATAAGGATATTCACTCACTAGAGATAGATGTTTAAAAGCATGGCACTTTATTCATATCTGAAACATTTTAAATCACCCTTCTGGTCCAGGCCTAGTGTCCAGATACGAACTGACATGGGAGCTACTGAATTACATTTACATTCTGCACAGTATCAGTCTGCAGAGCATCATTGTCCCTTTTAATCATAAATCATCTAAATCTAATCAATAGTACTAAGCAAAAAAAATCTTATCCTTACAAAAAACCTAAAGGTTAATTGTGCTGGTTTTGTGAACTCTTCTTTAGTTATGCCTACAGGGCACAATACCTTAGACACTTCTTGCTGTTCATGGGGCACACCAAAAGCACTAGGGAATAATTTTTTACACCTCCAGCATTTCAATGTGCTGGACAGACTTTTTATGTGTCATATAGCGATTGTTAAGAATTGAAGTGGCTGGAAATAGGGATGGATACTGTGTGTGCCTTGGTTAGCATATGGCAGCCCTGGAAGTACAGCAGCTGGGCCTCTCCTGGCTCCAGCACCGCGTGGCTTCTGCCTCTAAGCATGTATTTTCCACACAGGCAATCTCATAATGGCCTAGAGCCCTGC